AGAAAGAAAGAAAGAAAGAAAGAAAGAAAGAAAGAAAGAAAGAAAGAAAGAAAGAAAGAAGAAAGAAAGGGGCCGGGGATTTAGCTCAGTGGTTCCGGCACCTGCCTCGCAAGCACAAGGTCCCGAGTTCGATCCCCGGTACCAAAAAAAAAAAGAAAGAAAGAAAGAAGGCTCTTTGTGTACACTGGAAATTATTTATGAGAAGGTGAAGAGGTTCAGTTATTGGAACACCTTGAGAACTACACATTACATTGCCCATATTATCTATGTGGGCATGCATTAATAGAACATTTCTTCAGAATGAATTTGGATGTGTAATCATCATACTTTACATGTCACATTTAATAACAAATACAAAAAGGATGTAAATTGCTGCTTTCCAGGAAACACTGCTAAAAATTCAGGAATTTCAAGGCTTTATAATATCTTTGCATTTTTCAAAGGAGGAAAACTTGCATATAATTATTTTCCTGTTTATTTTTTCAGTGTACAAGTCTTTTGCCTCCTTAGATAAATTTATTTTTATTTTTACTATTTCTGGTGCTATTGTGAATGGGACTGTCTTCTTTCTTTTTCAAATTGTTCATTATTTAGTACACAGAAATGCAACTTATTTTTGTATGTTTATTTTGTCTCCTGTATCTAGGATGAATTTATCTAATAGATATTTTGTGTGTAGAATTAGGTTTTTTTACATAACACTATATCATTTTGCAAACAGAGATAATTCTACTTCTTCCTTTCCTATTTGGATGCTTTTGTTTCTTTTCCTTGCCAAACTGCTTTGGCTAGTACTTCCATACAGTGTTGAAAAGAAGTAGTGAAAGTGGTCATCTTTGCCATGTTTCTGATCTGAAAGAAAAAGCTTTCAGTTTTTCAACAGTGAATATGGGATTAGCTGTGAGCTTTTTATATACTGCCTTTATTGTGTTGAGTTAATTTCCTTCTATTCCTAGTCTCTTCACTGTTTTTAATCCTGAAAAGTATTGAATTTTGTCAAAATTTTTTGCATTTTTATGATCTTATGATTTTTATCCATTAAGTTAGTGTATTACATTGATAGATTTTTTGTATGTTAATGCAGTGATACCTTCGTTCATGAACTTAATTTTTTCCACGATTCTAGTCACAAACTGAATTGGATGAGACCTGAATCAAATTCAATGTTGACCTTATGTGGAAATTTGATTTGGTTCTTGTCCAATTCAGTTTGCAACCAGAATTGTGGAAATAATTAAGTTTGTGAACAGGGTATTGCTATATTTATAATATCACCTTTTTCGCAGTTCTATAACTTTTTATAATGTGAAAACAAAATTGTGCCCAATAAGAGAAGAATGTCAGAGGGAAAAACCATTATGAAAGAAAAAACATTGGTAGCTAGGTCCAAATTGGTGGAGGCCAATTTTTATTTAAAATATTAAATGAATAAGTTAGAGTTTATCTATGTCCTGGATATAAAGGACTTCAGGTACAGAGATCCAAGAAAAATGCTTTTTTATTAAAATTCCACCCATCACCAGCCCTGTGTGTTATTTCTAGTTTTACCTGGGATTTGTCTCAGCTCCACTTTCTGAATTGTGACCTGAAAAAAGATTGCCCAGGTCTAATAAACAAACTAGTGATTACATCTATGAGTTAGACATATTTACCTGTTTTTTCCCAATTTGGGCAAGCCATTTGCAAAATTCTTCAATGGTGGTCAATGTTACACAGTTCTTTGTGTCCAGTGTTGCTTGATATGCACTGGTACTTCTTGCAAAATACACCTCAACAGCATCTGGAAAAAAAAATTATTTAAGGCAAGAAGATAGCCTTCACGATTGTCTAATACCCTCTTTGGCTCAATTGACATTTTTATGTTAAAGTTCATTCCTGCTCTCATCTCAGGTCTCATATGGGCCATTAAAAAGTTCACAACACTATTTGATAGCATCAGATGATGTTCTCAGGATGAAATTCATGGCTTTTCAGTAGGAAAAGAAAGCCTCTGTCTGAATAATTTTATTATTTTAAGAAGCAAAATAAATGCCATATTAAACTCCCAGGTGCACTGCACGACTATATTTGGCTAAAACTCTGGTACAGATCACTATTTACTGGATCTCTCTCTCTCTCTCTCTCATAGTAAGAATGTTATGAGTTTAAAAGTACTTTAAATGTGTAGTTATTACAGATGAAATACCACATTTCTTGATTATTGTGGCTTTATAGTACAGCTTGAAGTGACGTGGTATCAGTCCTCCAACTTTGTTCTTCTCTTTCAATGTTGACTATTCCATACATTTTTGCCTCTCACATAAACTTTACAATAAGTTTCTACTGTCCACAAAATAACTTGTTGGTACAGTACTGGGTTGAATTTGTAGATTAAGTTGAGAAGAACTGACATCTTACCAATATTGAGTTTTCTTATCCACAAACATGATCTGTTAAATGTGTTGATATCTTTCATCATATTTTGTAGCTTTTCTCATAGATATTTTGTGCATTTTATTAGATTTATATATATTTCATTTCCTTGAGTGCTAATGTATAGTATTGTTTTTAATTTCATATTATACTTGTTCATTACCAGTATATAGAACACCAATTGACTTTTGTATATTAACCTTATATCCTGCATACTTTCTATGATCATTTATTAGCTCCAGGAGGTTTGCTGTTGTCTTTGTTAATCTTTCAGATTCTCTAGTTATATCTACAAACAAATCAGTTTTATTTCTTCCCTCCTAAAACAGTATATCTTTGACTTCCTTATTGCATTGGCTAGAACTTCTAGTATGATACTGAAAATCAGTTTTCCCAATCTCAGTGGAAAAGCTTGTACTTTCTCAACATTAAGAATAATGATGTTAGGGCCGGGGATTTAGCTCAGTGGTTCTGCTGCCTGCCTTGCAAGCACAAGGACCCGAGTTCAATCCCCAGTACCAAAAAAAAAAAAGAATAATGATGTTGGCTGGGGATTTAGTTCAGTGACACCATGCCTGCCTCACAAGCACAAGGTCCTGAGTTCAATCCCTGGTATGAAATAATGATGAAGATGATGATGATGTTAGCTGCAGTTTTGTTGTTGTTTTACAGATGTTAGTGTTTGTTTTCCATTCCTATAAAAAAATACTTAAGGCTGGGTACTTTATGTCTTTTTTAAAACAGTGGCTTATTTAGTTCCTATTTTTGGAGGCTGAATGTCTAAACAGTATGGTTCTGGCTCTGGTAAGGGCTCTCCTGGCTACTTTCCCATCTTGGTGGGAGCAAGAAGGAGAGATCATATGGTGAGACAGGAAGCCAGACAGCAGGACAGTAAGAGCCAGGGTCTTACTGTCTTACAATCACCCTTTTGCAAAAACTAACCAGGGTCAGACAAAAATTATATTATCTCCTTCCAAGGGCGGTACTTCCTCCCACTAGGTCCCTAACCTTCCACTAGGGCCCATGTCTTCCAGGTCCCAGCAACCCTTACTCATTGCCACACTGGGAACCAAGCTTTCACCATGTGAACTTCCAAGGGACATACTCAAACCATAGCAACTGTCTTTGTCTGGTAGAGGGAATCCAGCTATATCTCTAGTCTTCTGAGAGTTTTCATCATGAGTGCTGGGATTCTGTCAAATGCTCTTTCCGCATCTACTGATATGATCATGTGACTTTTATCTTTATTCTGTTATTCTGATGCATTAACTAATTTTCAAATGTTGAACTATTATCTCAACTTTCTGATCTGCAGTTTGAGATCTGACCTTAACTTGGGGAAATTCTCAATCATTATCAGTTCAAATATTTCCTGTTATTTTCTTCTCTCTTCTTCTGTTCTGTTATATTCTTCTGTAGTTGTCCCACAGGTGTTAAGATAGTGATTTCCTTTTTCTCAATCTCTTTTCTGTTTTTCAGTTTTTGAAGTTTTTATTGAGATATTCTAAATCAAAGGCATTCTTCATTTTTTACAATGATTTTGATCTCTATTATTTCTTTTTGAGTCTCAGTATTTCAACCTATTTACAATGCCTACTTGTTTTATCCATTAGAATCTTTAACATATTAGTCATAGTTATTTTTAATTTTGATCTAATAGTAATTTCATCTCTGCCGTGTTTGAGCTTGGTTCAGCTTCTTCTGTTTCTCCAAATGATGTCTTTTGACTTTTAGTATACCTTGTAATTTTTCCTTGTAAGCTGGACATGATTTATGGTGTAAAAGGAACTATAGTAAGCTTTGAGTAGTGTGGGTGTTAAGGTGTGAGGGGAGTACTCTATAGTCCTATAATTATATTTTGGTCTAGTCAGCCTATACATTACCTCTGGACTGTGAACTTTACATATGATTATCAGTACTCTACCCCTTTCTCTATTTTTCATGGTACCCATGCCACTGAGCTAAATTCCTGGCCCTTCTACCCCTTCCTTTTAATGCAGACAGGATGGATAAGTGGACTGGAGTGGGTATTTCCATTTTTCAGTGTAAAGGGCTACAAGGAGCTGGAGTTGGGTATTTTCTCTTCTCCAAGTCAGTAGGCTCTGAAAAATCCAATTGTTAAGGTTTTTATTCTTTAAAAATTTTTTAGGGAAAACTGGCCTTGTTAAGAAGAAAATGTTCCTGGAGAGATTTTGGAATGTTTACTTTTCCTCTTCTCCTGACAGCAGCATAAGTACTTTTTTTCTAACATTTACTTTGAGAATCTAGTCAAGCTCTTAGAAGTAAAATTCATAAAAGTATGGAGACCCCTTTACGATTGGATATCAGGTTTTTCCACACTGATCTTCAAGCATTTTGTCATCTATAATTTAGGTTCTCCTGACTTGGTATGCTTCCTGCGGAGATAGGTTTCTACTGTGGCACTCTGTATTTCTCTGCAATTTCCCTCCAATTCAGGGGTTACTGTTTTGCCCTATGATCTCACTTCTCTGACAGATGTAGGAAAAACTGTTTATTTCCCAGTTTGCTTTTTACTTGCTGTTAAGACATAGTGATGATTTCCAAGGCCCTTACATGCCAGACCAGAAATGTGAAATAATTTTCTCAGGATTTAATGTTTTTTAGTCTTAGTTTAAATTCCTGGGGATAACCCTCCCACAGTGCTGAGTTTATAGGCCCAGTTTAATGTCACTTCTTAATTGTAAGATTTCCTGCAATTTTCTACAGGGACAATAATGTTTTCTGTAAATAGGAACCACATTATTTCTTCCTAAGCTGTATTTCTTTTATTTCTTTTTCTTGTTTTATTGAACTAGTGAAGATTTCTGAATAAGAAATATGAAAACATATACCCTTGCTTGCCATTATCTTAAGGGATCTTTTACCATCAAGTATGTTAGCTGTCAGGTTCTCAACATGCCTTTTATCAGATTAAGGAAGTTCCTTTCCACCATGAATTGATGTTAAATTTTATCTAATGGTTTTTCTGCATCAAGTGATAGGGACTGTGTGCTTTTTCATCTTTAGTCTGTTAATACAGTAAAGGATATTGACTGAAGTTTGAATACTAAAACAGCCTGACATTCTCAAGCAAAAACAAACAAACAAATAAACATGCAAACAAAAAACCCTTACTTGTTCATGGTATATTATTTTTTCCTAAATATTGCTATATATTTTATTTAGGATTTTTCTACATGCATAAAAATATTGGTCTGTAATGCTTTGTTTGTTTTTTCCTTTCCTTGTAATGTCTTTGCCCAGTTTTGATATAAGGGTAATGCTAGCCTCCTAAAGTTAGTTAGAAAGTGTTCCCTCCTGTTGTATTTTCTGGAGGAGATTATGTAGAATTGGTGTTATTCCTTTCTTAAATACTTATTAGGCAGAATTCCACAGTAATATCTCTGGACCTGGAGATTTCTTGGTAGGTTAACTATAAATCCATTTTCTTTAAAAGGTAAAGATCTATTCAGGTTATCCATTCACATTGGCTGAATTGTTTTTAATTTTATGTACAGAGCTTTGTGACAGACATAGTTTTAGATATTTTTGTAATGTAATCTGTTAATCTTGTCTTTCATGATATAGCTTTGTGTGCTTCAAGTTTTCCTCCAATTTTTAATTTTAATAATTTCATTCCAGTGATACATTCTCTTCTGACTGGTTTGTAAATTCTGATGTACAAAATTTTAATATATCTATAATTTAATGAGTAATATGACTTGAAGATAAATATTTCTTTTAACATTAAAAGTTAGTATGCAAGGAAAAGGTAAGGAATCTTTGGAATCTCCCAAAATTATGTGCGATTTTTTTCTCACATGAAAAAGCTAAACATTCTATATATTTACAAATATACTAAATTTCTTATAACAACACTATTTTTTTAAAAAACATCCCTAATATACAAGGAGTACACACACTGTGAGCATATAAAAGGAAATTTTAAAAGGAGAAAATAATTCACTAGAACATGCAATCAGAAAATCTTCAGTGAACATTTCTACTTAAAAAAAATAAATATCCATTAAAATGTCAAAATTTCTTCTAACTGAAAAAAAGTTTAATAGCATGTGGAATACAAGAATGAAAAAATGTGAGACATAAGACATTCTCTATAAATCTTTATCTCCCTCTTTCCTTTTCTGCCCTATAACTGGAAAAAGAACTTCACCAAAATGGATTACTTTTATAAAGAGAAAATAGATATTTTAAAAATGTTCTAATTGGTTTCTTCACAAATCCTATATTCTTCCTGACAGGGTATCAACTCTAGCAGTGTCCATTAATCTTATCAAGCCAGCTCTTTTATATCTCACCAGTTCTTTTATATCTCTCTCAAGCCATTCACTTCAAAAAGATGACCTTGCCAGACAAAGGACTATTGTTGAAGTACAATTTAATCACTTGGCTTTCCTTTAGACTTTCTAGTACCTCACTTTTAGAATATAAGTCAAGAAAATTCTAACAGCTACAAACATTTTTTCTTGTAAACCAGAGGAAGAGTCAAAGGGATTGAGAATGGAGGAAGAGGGAAGGAGGAGCGGATGCTTTCTTTTTGTGTCACTGGATTTCCTCAAAAACCAACATATCAAAAGTCATGTTCATAGCATGTATAATGTATACATTTTATAAATGTGAATTTTGCTGAGCTTATAAGGGAATAAAGGAAACAGAAAATAGATGATTTTATTGGTTCTGATGCTCCAACTAATTTGGGGGATATTACCAGCTCCAGATTAATGTGTAATGAATTTTGTATAAAATCATAAGTAACTTAATTATTCCATAACAGGCATGAATAGCTAATTATAATTTTACTTATAAACAGATCATTCACTAATATGCTTCTCATAAGTCCCTGGAAAATAATAACTCAAAAGAAACCTTTTCTACCTACCCTTGTGCTGGGGCTCTCCAGACATGGCATAAGCTTTGGCTAATAATGCGCCCACCTCTGCAGTTTGGGAGCTGATTTCAGTGAACGAAGAAACACAGATAGAATGAGCCTGGAAAAAAAGAAAATAATGACAAGGCAACTACTCAAATGATAGGATCTCACTGTGGATTTTCTAGTCTCTTTCCACAGAATTGCCAGTTAGCAATAACATATAGTTAATCAGGGAATTAGATGAAAGATGATGTATTAGTTGGTATTTCATTGCTGTGACTAAATACCTGAGGGGGAAAAAGGCAACTTAAAAGGAGGAAAAATTTATTTTGGTTCATGGTTTCAGAGATTTCGGTCCCTGTTTGGCCCACTCCATTGCTTTAGGCCTGTAGCAGGGCAGAAGCATCATGGTGGGAGGGGTGGTAGAAGATAGATGCTCACTTTAATGATAGCCAGGAAAGGGGGGAGGATGGGGGAGAGGGGAAGAGAGAAAATAGGGTCTAGAACAAAATATACCTTTCAAAGGCACTCTCTCAGTGAGCTACTTCTTCCAGCTGGGCCCCACCTCCTAACAGCCCATTCAGCTACAAATTCATCAATGAGTTAATCCATTAATGAGATTAATATCTCCATGAACACTGCTGCACTGGTGATCAAACTTTCAATACCTGAGTTTGGAGGACACTTCATACTTAAACCATAACAAATGACTTTGAGCCCCAGGGCAGCTACTTTGTAGCATGATTTTTCAGCAAGTACTTTCACCTTATTATGCAGAAGAATTATATGGTTCCTACTAATTAAGAAAGATTAAATGAGTCAGTATATGGTATATGCAAAGCACTAGGCACATTACCCATTCCATGGTAAGTTGTTTTTTTTTTTTTTTTTTTTACCAGGGGTTGAACTCAGGACCTCATGCTTGCCAGGCAGGTGCTGTGCCGCTGAGCTAAATCCCCAGCCCAGTAAGCTCTTAATAAATGTTAGCTGATATTATTTTTACTACATTTCACAGCAAAAATAAAATTATAACCTTAGCTCAGCCGCTCATGAGTTTGGTATTAAAGACAGTTATAAAGCATGGATCCTAGAAAACTCAGCCACTTATTGTGATATAAGGTAGGTCACTTAACCTCTTGAGACTGAAAACAGGAATGATGAAAATAGAATGTCACAAAGAGTTGTTGTAAATATTATGAATATATGTAAAGTGTTTAGAATACCACTTGACAAATAGTAAGCACTAAATATAAAATTTTATTATTTTTTGTGCTAAAATGGAAAGAGTAACACTTAGGAAGGAGAAAGAAAAGTAAAAGTATCTAGTCCATATCCCACAGCAAGAAAACCACCCTGCAATATTTCATAGGCCAAACTCTGTGAGGTATTTCAGGGGCTTGAAGGGATATCAGACAACATTTTAGAGGCAAGATATAGAGTGGAGTTGTTGTTAAGTATAGGTTCCAGGATCAAGCTTTTGGAGTTCAAGTCCCTGCTTTGACACCTGTTTGCTGTACAACTTTAGCTGAATTAGCTATAACACTCTGTGCTTCACTTTTCCTTACAATGAAATAAAACTGATTAAAACTGATATCTATTCCACAGGGCTATCATATGAGTTAAATAAATACATCCTCAAGAGCACATAATAAAAACATTCCATAAACTTCAATTCATGATTTTTGTTGTTGAAAAACACTGATATTTATTGTTTTATCCATTTTGTTCTGACCACTGCTTTCAGAAAGAATTGAACTCAAAACTCAGACTGCTTTCTCTGTAAGCCCTAGAGTGCTACCTTCAGAGCAGCATTCCCTAACATTTCTCTATTGCGTGATGTTTACAGTCTTGGATTGTCAGATTGTTTGCAATAAGTTTTCTATGCTACAGGAAGCATTTTTCCCTGTTTGTGGCTGTGGAAGATACCAGAAGCCACAAGCAGAATTCTTATTTAGACAAGAAAAACGGTGAATTTAATTAGTAGTTTGAAGTACATGCTACATAAAGTACATGCCTTAAACTGTTCTTATATGATAGGCTCAACATTCTTTCCTATGTTTTGGTTTTGTTCCCCTGAGGATTGTCAAATTAGTTTCCTCCAAGTGAAATACCCTTTTATTAGTTTAACCTTAGACTTGGAAATACAACCACCTGGATTAGTATAAAGGACAAATGACAGCATTGTACCAAAATACTCTTTTTTGTTTAAATGGCTCTTTGTGTTTGTTGAAGACTTAGGTTCAGTTGCCTCCATGAATTTTTCCTTGGAGTAGACACACTTGGCTTCCTCTTCTCAGCACTGAGAGATGGGAAAAAACCTGGGCAGGGAAGCACTGTCTCCTAATGAAGTCACACAGCAGATATGCTCACCTGAGTCACTGTTCTTTGTCAATGTCACTTAAAGTTGTTGATGGGCACTTATGGAGATCTGGAGGGAAGTTAGGGTTAAAAGGGAACCAATCCCAACCTTGTGTTGTGAAAAGTCCAAACTTCCCTGACCCCGGGAACTGGGGTGAACAAGACCACTCTGCCTGGATTCCAGCCAACTCACCAACCTGCTTCAAGTACTGGATGGCCTGCTTGTGGTTCCTCCTCAGCTGCTCTATCTGGGCAATCTCCTCATACAGACTGATCAGATCTGATGTGCCATCACCCTTGACAGCAATAACACTGCCAATTGCCTTTTCAAAATATGCCAGAGCTAGGTTCAACTTGTGGATAGCCAAGGAGGCTCTACAAGAAAAGAAATGAAGTCACAGCGAGGTCATTTATTTTGCAGACTCATAGGAACTAATCCTAAAATCCAAAGAATTTGGCCTCTGCAGGCCACTCATCTGGCTCAAAATCTAGCCTTACTGTAAATAAACTCCCATGATCCTGCATTTTTACCCACCAGATTCCACTGCCTACTATTCATTTAAACCATTAATATATGATGTGCTATCATCTAAGGTTTAAATAAAAGTAAGTGGTAAAAAGTGGTAGCCAGCAAGTCATAAGATAGAATAATTTACCCAAACACAGACTCTCTAAAATCAAAATAAAATTGTATTACTTCTGTTTCTCTGCCTTTCAGGCTGAAGAAAGTTTTTGTTTTGTTTTGTTTGATTTAGTTTAGCTAAGAAAGGACACAGAAAGCATTGTAACTATCCTCCAAAGGGGGGGTAGCTAAACAAATTACATAATATCATGTTAAAGTACTTCATAGAACTATTTTATTTTTAGATTAACAATATGGAGAGGTATTCAAAATATGCTAAGTGAAAAATGAAGATGTAAGTCTGTACTTAAAATATGATATACTGAGATGGCTAGGCAAAATATTCACAGCATTTATGTCTGGATGGTGGTATTATAATTTACTTTTATTTTTTCTTCATACTTGTCTGAATTTTCAAATTTCCACAACAAAATTGAGAGCATAATTGTTTTAGACAGTATCTTATTGTGATTATCCTTCTAGAAACAGGAACAAACATCAAGAACAAGGGGACTTCAAAGCTTATTCTGAGGGTTGGTAACTTTATCAAACTCCAGAAGCCAACATTTCCTTGCCAATAAAGCACAACTAAGCATATCTAAATTACAGCCTTGTTGTGAAGATTAAATATGTAAAATCACCTAACATATAGTAATTATACTCTCAGGACCACTTCCTTCTTTCCCCTTGCCCCACGTTTGTATTCCCAAGTTGAATTTTTAAAAATTACTTCACTAAGTCATTTTAGCAATAGTCAGAATTTTTTCAAACTGGGAGGTTTATCCTTTCTTTGAAGATGAGGATTAATATTGAAAAGAGCACTATTATGTTATCCCATAATTTTTTGTTAAAAATATTTTTGATCACTCAGAACACTAGTTCCCTTGACCATAAGACCAGAAATATAGAATGATAATGGCTTTCATTAAGAGCTTATAAGGAGGTATTAGCAAGTTGTCTGATAGGAATATTCTTGCCTCAGTTTCCCTATCCTCAAAATTAAAAAAGGAATCTATCCTCACTAGATATTTGGTCAATATCAAACATAACTCAGTGTATTATAAGAGGTAAGCTATGGATTCAGATGCTCCAGTTAAAAGCCAGACTCTTCTATTAGTTCTGTAACTGTGAATTAATTTTCCTGTATCTTAACTTTCTTATCCATAAAATGAAAAATAATAAAAAGTATACTCACAGGCTAAGGAGAGGATTGAATAAAGTAAGTTATGAAAATATCGAGAATGGTATCTAGTAAGTTAATTAGCATCTGATACAACAGTGCATGCACAAATTAAGTACTCAATAAATATCATAGAATGAATGAATGAATGGAATAAGTACTAGGATTCCTTCTGACAAAGGAACAAGGATTTCTTTCACATAAGGCAGAAAAAATTAATCACTGCCCTGTGTGACAGCCTTAGACATTCACCAGACTCTAATTTATGGCCCTATGGACTTAAGTCAATGGTTTGATTTAGCTCTGGGCATTCCAACAACTCCTCATCATTTCCCGCTTGACTTTAGGATTCATGATTGTTTAGAGGAGGCAGAAAAGTGATGCATGCATTTCATTTACACACCATTCAGTCATCTGCTCTAATATGCCAAGTGTTTACAGTTTTGGAAACTGATTGATTTCAAGGATGTGAAGATATTTGAAAAATCTAGGGAACAGTAAACTTTTCATTATGTTTTTCCTCTGATAACCTGATAGGCCCACTCTCATTTCTAAATATTCTGATTCTCAGAGGATCTCTAACTCAACTGCAAAACAGTTAAGTCTTGCTCTGGCTTGAACAAATTCCATGAACTTTGTTTCTACACAGAACAGAACTTTCCTTAAAAACACATGTGCTATTCACAGATTTCATGGCTTCCAATTAATCATCTACATTAAATGTTCCTTCCATATCTCTTACAATGTCACATTGCTAAGATGTCATACTTTTAAAATGGGGAAAAGTAGCAGGCAATTAGGAAAACAACATAATCAGTCCTAGAAGTGTGAGGAGCAGTATAAGAAATGGTTAAAAGTCAATGAGTTCAGATTACAGATCTAACACTTATAAGATAGGTCACCTTAGACGATGTGTTTAACCTCAGACTCAGATTCCTTGTCTTCTCTTTAATGAGATCATAATCATGCCAACTATTTGTTAATGGTGGTTAGGAGGATTAAGGTCAGCAATGCACAGTAAGTTTGGAGCAGAGTATCCATTTGACAAATATAAGTCTCCTTTATTATCACTTTGAGTTTCTTGGCTTTTTGCTCTGAATAGCTTTCTAGAGTACAGAACATCATGTAACTCCAGGTCTCATTTGTAAAGCTTCAGCTTTGCTATGCCCCGATCTTACCTGCCCAATGCAATTGTTAGGTCTTTCTCTGAGACCTGTAATCCACAAACATCTCCCTTGTTCAATTCTTTCAGCCCCTTTATGTTTCTGTCTGCTTTCTTCAGGTTGAAATAGGCCTCTCTGCCAGTGAAACAGTCAAGGTAAATGCCAAGCACAAAAACTAGCTGCCACTGCATAGGGAGAGCAGTTGATACACAAACAAAATGGCCCTTTGGGAAAAGAAAGCTGTACTTGGAAATGGATACTTAACTATGTTCTTTATTCTCCATGTGTGTATGTCAAGAAGAAAGAATTCTCTGGAAAAAGAACAAAGTCTTAGAATTCTTTTAGTGCTTGCCCGAATCCATGTCTGGAGTGGATGGTGAGGGCTTGCAGTAGTGATACTAGATTTCCTTTAGCAGCATCTACTGCATGACAACAGTTACTCATTTTTCCCATGTTGTTTTGTAAGAATGGTAAAAGAGAGGAACTAATTATACTGAAAGGGACTTTCTGGATCATTTTTAAAAATCCAGGAAGAGTAAGTTTTTGGCCAGATGCAAATAGCAGGAAAGAAACCCCCTTAATTCCCAAATACCCTTCTATTTCCCACATTTTTCATAGACCTCCTTTCAAGAGTATGATGGGGAAGGCCACATTACATTTTGGAAATTGAGCAAGACAACCAAAAAAGTAGAGGGGGGGATGTGTAGAGAGAAGGAACTGAACGCACCTGGGCTCAGAGTGCTCCTGACTATATATGAACATGAAATCTCATTAGAATCTTTCAAGTGGTGACAATATCAAAAGGCTATCAAAATCAAAAACTTCTTGAGCGAAGATACTACTATAAGCCTGGGTGGTAGGGTTTCCCAAAGGTCCATGTGGAAAGGGCTTGGCTTCCAGCATGAAGTTACTGGGAGGTGCTGGAACCTTTATAAGGTCATTGGGAACATTCTTTAAAGGAGATACTGGGATCTCATCCCCTTCTTCTCTTTTTCATCCCTGGCAATGAGGTGAGGGGTTTTGCTCTGCTATGTGCTCCATCATGATATACTGCTTTGCCACAGGCCCAAAAGTATAGGGGCCAAGATATTATAGTCTGAAATCTCTAAAACTGTGAGACAAAATACAAGTTATCTCTTTATAAGCTGATTTTCTCAGGTATTTCCCATAGGCATGGAAAGCTGACTAACAGGCATATACTATGGCTCCCCTTTGAGATTATGTAGAACTGCTTCTTTGGTCTATTTCAGTTGGCTTCATGCTTGATTGGCAGTGTTCTCAATATCATTTTTTTTTAAAAAAACCCTAAAATGATCAAGAATTTATTGAATCAGTGGTTTTGGGCTGCACATTACAATCACCTAGGGGGCTACTAAATCAAAATCTCTGGGGTAGGACCCACACAGCAGTGATTCTTCAAGCTCCCTAGGGAACCACAATGTACAGCCTAGTCTGTCACACTTTCCTCTAAATTACCACCGCTCTTCATTCCTATACTATCCCCACCACTATTTGCATAGCTAATATTAACTTTTTCCTTTTTCGCTCTTTTCAGTAAAGAGCAGTTAGACTTGGAAATTTTTCAACTGGCTAGGGGATGTGTCACTAATTAATTCACTCCCAGGGCTCAACTAGGGGCTTACATGAACAGACATAGGAGGAAAACACATACCTTTCTAGGTGGATATAAGTATGCAGAGGTCCTGCAATGTTGGAATACAGCTATGATAACAAGGATCCATGTCCTATTCTCCCATGTGAGATGACCCTTCCGGCATGTGTGGCCTGTAGCCCTGATCACCAGACCCATCTGGGAAGGAAAGCATATTGGTTCTGTAGGAGCCAGGCCACTCCCAGAGTGTAGTAGAGCATGACCAGAGCTTCTGTGATTTCCTTTTTCTCCTTGTTTGAGGTTGTTTTTCCCTTCCAGGTCAAGAGTGTGTTCTTGGCAGATTCAGCATGTTCCTTGGCTTGGGCTGGGAGGCCTGTAGAAGTTATAGAGTGAACAGCAAGAAGAAAGATATTAAAAAGGCATGTTCCAGTCAAAGACATTTCTGGGAGGTATATATAGTATTGGTTCTAAGTTTGGCTGTGAATCAGAATTATCTGTAATGTTTATAAAGAATATAGATTCTTGGGGCCAGGGATTTAGCTTAGTGGTTCTGGCGCCTGCCTCGCAAGCACAAGGTCCTGAGTTCAATGCCTGGAACCAAAAAAAAGAATATAGATTCTTGGGCCCCTCCCTATACCTATGGAGTCAGAGGAATGGAGTCCAGGAATTTCTAATTTTAATCCCACAAGTGGTCCTTATGCAGCCCTCCTGGAAATAGTCTGTGAACCTGTTTTGAAATCAATGATAGAGACAGGAGTGAAACCTGCGTGTCCCCTTTCCAATTCTGTCACTAATGTCATCTGACCCTTTCAACCCACAAAGTTTCTTTATCCTCCAAACAGCAAAGGACAACAATGGTTATATAAGCTGCTCTTTACATATGGAGATGATCCAGGAACAAACTAGGCAATGCCATACAGTACTGTGCTATGAGCTTTCTAGAAAAGGCATTTTATAAATATAAGGGCTTACGAATGAAATTATTTCCATCTGGGATTGTTTTACAATCAAAGATGAAGCTGGTGGTACTAATTGGTCTCTCTCACACACACACATACACACACACACACACACATGTACTCATGCACACAAAGAATCCAATTTCTTAATGCAGTGAGACTCCTCACTACAAAGACAAAGGGAACACTAGACAGAACTGGTAAGGGTTTCTCCTTGTTTTCCAACTAAAGGCTGGTGTTCCTGGGCACTTATACTCTTTATTTATTTAACAGAGGTAAACTTGGGAACATTCAGTGTATAGTACTAGTTCCTCATATTTTGGCCTAACTCATGTCTTTTCCCTTTCCCGATGGAAAAGTGAAACAAGTCCTGAGGAAAAGAGAGAGAAAGGCGAGCAGAAGACACAATATCCTAGTTTTGTCCTTTTATACCAAAACTCATGGCTGACATTCACTTTCCGTCCTCTTTCTGCAGGCATCCAGGGACTGGTAAACACATTCACACCTGCCAAGTAGGCCTACTGCACCTCTAATCCTTACCCCACAGTCCTAACTGTATTCTACACAGTTTGTCTTGGTTTTGGCCTTTAGAGATCGGTTTCACAGCATGGGTGCAAATCCACAGCAACCGGGATATGAAAAGACTTGCCTTAATGCCTGCAGCCCTCATATGTTTTAAATGTGGAACATCTCATTAATATTGCAATTTAATTTACAACAATGAAAGGGAACAAAGCCTTAAGCTGAAGCCAACTAGTTTCTGTAGATCACTCAGCGACATCTTTTCTATAGGTCTTAATTGAAGAGAGAAATTGACTCTATTTAAAAAGGGGGCTGTGTTCTAGGCCACAGCCCAGCAGATAACAGTGCCCCTCAAACTGACCTGTAGATTCTTGAGCCTCATTTCCAGTAGTTACAGTTTACAAACACCATGGTAAAAACCGAGGATTCACATTTATAATGAGCAACAAGGTTTCAGGTGGTAACCAAGAATTCATAATTCTCTTAGGTGATATTAATGAAGGCTGAGAGCCACATCTGAAAAAACATTGAGTAAAATATTTACAGAAGAAGTGGGACTCCTCTTATTTTTGAAGAGTGGATAGGATTTTGAAATGGAGAAGTGGCAGGGTTTCCACTTGGAGTAAATAGCCTAAGGGCATAGGAAACAGACTAAGCAAGTGTGTCAGTGTGTGTGTGTACACATGCATGTGTGCACTTGTGTGCATGAGGCTGGCTTACCGTAGGAGTGTTAGAAAAGGAAGTAAGAAGACTAGTCAGAAGGAGAAGTTTGAATTTAAAGATATAAAAAGATGCACTGGATATGTAAAACCAAGTCTTGGATGCTCTCTATTTGTTATAAGATAACACAATACCCGAAAGACTGGGAAACTGTAAAGAATACTCATTTCTCAAAGTTCTGGAGCTTGGAAAGTTCAAGATCAAGTCACAGTCATCTAATTGGGCTTCCCTGCTGTGTCCTTCGATGGGGAAGGTGGAAGAGAAAGGAGACATTCAAACCATAACAGATGACAAAGTGGGAAGGCTGGATTTGAACTGTAAGGGATTTGGGAGTCTTTCTAGGTCATGAAAAATAAAGCATCAACTAGTAATCTCACAGAAAGCTCATCAGAAGCTAGGATTGCTACTTTACAAATCTAGACAGTAAAGTAGGGAGAGGAGTCTTTCGATCAAATACGCTGTTTTCCACGAGCAGGGAAGGGGACAGCACCCAAAATCAGATGATTCCCTGGGTCCTTAGGAGAAGAACAGGGAGAAGAGTATAAGGCTCCATGCACCATTCCAGGCCCACATCTTCCATCCCAGCTACTCAAGAGGCTGTGGCAGGAGAATCACAAGTTCTGGGCCACCCTGGGCAACTTACAGTAACCAGACCATCTCAAAATAATATTTTTTTTCAGTACTGGGGATTAAACCCAGGACTTTTTTTTTTGTACCAGGGATCAAACTCACAACCTTGTGCTTGAGAGGCAGGTGCGGTGCCACTGAATTAAATCCCTGGCCCAAACCCAGGGCTTTTGAACTGAGCTACAACCCCTTTTTACTTTGAGACTGTGTTGAGAAGTCATTAAGTTGCCCAGACTAGGCTCAAACTTTCGATCATTCTGTCTCAGCCTCCCAGAGTGCTGAGATACTGGCATGCGCTATTATGCCCAGCTCAAAATGAAGTATTTTAGAAAGGGATGGGAATGTAGCTTAGTCATAGAACACTCAGCATGTGCAGAGCCCTAGGTTTAATACCTAGTACCACAAGAACAACCTAAAGAAAAGAAAATGCCTCACATCAGCAAGCACAACAGTCCTTCTGGGCTCCTAAAGGAAAAGCAAGAAAACTATATTTGAGAAAGTGGCTCTGAGAAGGTCCTTAAGGCTTTCCAGCCTGTCCCGCTTCCCGGCCAAAGTGCCTGGGGCTGGTGTGAATTCTCTGGGAGGAATACTTTTCCTCTAAGCTCAGCCACTAATTAATTACACAGTTTCTTGTCTCCCATGTCCCACACTGTGGTCCTTCTGATGAAAAAGCTAAACTGGTGACCAATGGGACTTAAGCAAATTGAGCAAAGATCTTGATTTAAACTGTTTACTATACTTTAAAGTAAACCTTAAGGGGAAAAATCTCTTCTTTCACCTTTCTAGAATCCACCTTGGTCTCAAAATTAAGGTGCATACTATCCTGTAAGTATGTAAGATGCGATAAAGCGTTAACAAACATCAAAATGTCTGTGATGTCTTTTTTATCCTATTCTTTTTTCTGCTTTATAGCTATTTGTGATATTTTATAGCATATTAATACTGTGGTACACACTTTGTAATAGATATACAGATATGGAGAGTGTTTTTAGTTAAGAAAGCTCTGAAGAGTTTGGAGACCATTGCGCTAGACAAATGTATTAATGCTAGACAAGTGTATTAATCATTTTGCTTTAGTTTGAGTCAGGATTCTATCTCTGATGTCTGTTCCACAATTTTGATCAGAAAAATTCTGCCCAATCTCTCGAGGTTGCTAGCCTCACCAGAAAACAGTAGCTTTATCACTTATATTTAAGAAGTTACAGCCGGGGATTTAGCTCAGTGGTTCCACCACCTGCCTCACAAGCGCAAGTCCCGAGTTCGATCCCTGGTACCAAAACAAAAACAAAGAACAAACAAAAAAAGCAAAAAAAAAAAAAAAAAAACCAAGAAGTTACTGTGGCACCATGATTAAGAGAGCTAAGTCTAAAGCTAGATTCTCCAGATTACAATCATGGCTTAGCTGCTTACAACTATCTATGTACCCTTAAACAAATTAATTGATCCACTGGTGCCTCAGTTTATCCACCCATAAAAAGGCTGTGAAAATACATTTTATCTTGTAGGATTCTTGCAAGGATTAATTTAATTCATGAAAAACGGTGAAGTAGTATCTGAATAAAGTGAGTTAGAAGAAATACTAGCCATTATTATTATTTTTACCAAAGTCCATTTCTCTTATTGAGTAGTTTATTATCTTTCCTTACTTTTCCTTAGATTTTTTTCACAGTACTGCTTGCAGAATTTCTATAAAAAGGCAGCGTTCTCAGACCTAAACTTACTTCAGGCTTTCTGCAGACCAGATTATCTGGTTTTTGTCAGTCTCTATTGTTGCTGTACCAAGGTTTGGTTTTTTTTGCCCGAAGTACCCAGAAAAGACAGAGTTATGACTTAGATGTCTTTTTCCGGATTTTGTAATACTTTCAACAGATCACTGAATACCTGGAAAGTTCCCAGTAATAACAGGCTAATTTATTGCTTCACTAATAAGCAAAATACCAAGAAACTACATGTCCATATTACTCTATTCTCCTTTCTAAACAATTTAAAACAGCATACCACTAGGTGCCAAACTGCCCTGATGGTCTCTGTCCACTCTTTCCTCAGCTACTGTATTATTAGCTCCTGTAGGATTATCTCCCAGGTAGTCAGCAACAGAGTTCCACTTCTAGGATCTCTAACGCTCTCCCCAAGCAACAGCCTTTTGCATATTTTGCTTTGCAAACGTCTCACATTCTCTTAAGAACCCCATGCCATCAATCACCCATTTTTAAACTTTCAAACTCTAACTAGCTCCTTCCTTTGCAAAAAAATCTTACTGTATCTCCTACTCTTATAAAATTATCTCCACTTGATGTTATTGTTTAGATCTAGAATGGCCTCCAAAAGTCTCATGTATTCAGAGATGGGACTTCTGTAAGGCGACTGCATCATGGGGTACTACATACATTCATCAGTGAACTGACCCATTGATGAGTTCAAAGCTAAACGTGCTGTGTGTGCGGCCTGGCTGGAAGAGGTGTGTCATGGGGGCTCGCCTCCAGGTAGTACACAGTGTCTCCTCCCCTGCCTCCTCTCTTTTTTCTGCCTCTTGGTGCCAAGAGGTATTCAGCTTTTCTCTGTCATGTCCTTCCACAATGATGTTCTTGCCTTGGAGTTTGCCAACCATGTACTGAATTCTCTGAAACATAAGCTAAATTAAACCTCCTCCTTTTAAGTTGTGGGTGTCCAATATTGCACCCAATAATGTGAAAGCTGACTAATATACTTGACTTTTCTGATTTGGCTTCTACTCCCACCACACAGGGGGAAACAGTTCTCTTGAGGACCTTCAAATACTTCCTAACAGATAAATCTAATCACAGTTTTCCTCAGTCTCCCCTTTGCTGCAGCATCAGATATTTTACTTGTTTGATCTTGAGTTATTAAACCACTTGGTACTGCTTTATAGTGCTTCTCTAAATGATTTCTTTTTTTGCTTTACCAGGGTCTTTTGTTCCTTTTCATTAATTTTCATTTCATTTTCAAGTCTGAAGTTTCTTTTTCTTTGCTTTGCTTTTCAGAAATTTCACTAACTCCTGTAATGCCAACCTCGGCCTCCACACTTATAATTTCAGTTTCCCCTCTCTAGTTTTGATTTCAGTCCTTTATGCTTATGATTGGTCCTTTTTTCCTCTCAAGTTTTGGTCCCAAATTTCTAGCACCAAGTAAAAAGGTACTAGAGGGTTTCTATTGCAATGCAAAATCAATATATCAAAAACTGGATTCAATATTCTCCTCCCTGTGTACTTCCTTTCATGACCTACTTATCTTCGAAAATGGCATCTTGAGGGACCTAAAACTTCTAGGTCATCTTTGGACATCACTTTTCTATAACCTCAAGTTGAAGACATGTCTTACCAATTCTTCCTTCATGATATATTCCTTTTAATGATCATTTTTGAATAGGTAATCTATTTCTATGGTTAAAAGGTTAAATTATACGAAATGGTAAACATTGAGAGGTGTTGATGGGGAAAAGTTTTAGACTGCTTAGTAGAGTAACTATTAAAGTAGTTGTAGAAGCAAAATAGGTAGTGTACCCCTTTAAAAATGTGCCTTAGCCAGTTGCTTTTGTTGTTTAAGGTGAAGGTTATATAGCTCCTTTGATCTGTAGCTCTACTATAGATAACATCCTAGCTCTGAAGAACAAAGTGGGAATCCTTGAACAAACTTCTGATATATGTGCCTTAACTGTCATGTGTTTAGGACTGTAATCAGTAACAGAAACCACCTGTGTCTAACCATTAAACAGGAATATGAACTTTATTTACTTAACAAAGACCACTAGGGATGAGATAATGACTAACAAAAGTATTAAAAGGTGACTAACAAAGAAAGTGGGGCACGGGCACTGACCAGACCAGTTTCTGGCGGTCCTGCCTGCTTGCAAGTAAAGCCTTTGTTATTTTACCCAAATTCTGTGTCTCCGAGTATTTCTTTCCTCAATTTTCCGGAACAGTGTCACTTCTAATCTTGCTACCTTTTACCATAAGCACCCTCCACATAGCATTCTAATTTTATTTCATTCTTGTATATTTCTCACTGAATCATAAATTCTTAGTTTTTCTTGCCCTCTTTCTTTCACAAGAGCCATATTATAACACTGCCACACAATATATTCCCTTTTCCATACAGATGCATCCTGGAGACCACTCCCTAGTAGAATACAGAGTAGCCATATATTATAAACATGTATTTAGGTTCCCAGAGTGGGATTTCTAGTTAAATAATAAATACATCTGTCCTTCATAGACTCTTGAATTCTTACCTTCTCATTAATTCTCTGTCATTAGCCTAGTTGTCTTTTTTGTTTGTTTGTTTTTGAGACAGGGTCTGGCTATGTAGTTCAGGCTGGTGTTGAACTCACTATGTAGCCTAGGCTGGCCTCGAACTTGCGGCAACCCTCCTGCCTCAGCCTTCTGAGCACTGAGATTACAGGCATGTACCACCATGCTTGGCCAGCCTAGTTTTAGACCTACAAGACTGAGATAGTTTTCACTGTATCATTTCTAGATTAACCTTGCCAAAAATATACTTTGATATTTGTATCATCCTGCTAGAAAATCTCCAATAGTCCTCCCCTGTCTACCAAATAAATAACAAATTCCTTAGCTTGTATTTAAAATTCTACCATGATTTCTCCAGTGCAACCTCCTTTCCAGGTTCATCTTACCAGTCCAAATCTTAGCCAGACAGGGCTTCTTACTGCTTCTGAACAGACATCATACAAGTCTTCCAAATTTTTCTGCCTTTGTCCCCTATCCTTCTTTTCCACCAGAAATAACCCCCACTTTCCTTCCATCACTCAAACACTATTCATTTGTTGTAGTCCTTAGCATCTTAGCCAGGAATTATTTCATCCAATCTTTCCAAAGCCCTTTATTTAAATAAATTACATGACATTTACTTTATAATGCCTTCTGTGTTGTATTTGGTTCCCTAGGTGGCTCACTTTTGTAAGTTCTTTGAGGATTTCTCTACATTATATTTCCCAAAGTGCTCTGCATGATATTTCACATATACAAGTTTCTCACTAAATACTCACTGAAAGACTATTTATTGAGAAAAATCAGACTTTGGGTTTGACCCCCATCTCCAAAAGAGGGACATGAGGAAAGCAGATCCGCTAGCTATAAAACGTACAGCAAGGCACGAACACACACAGGTCCTGCCTACATGGGAGGCTAGCTCATATATTCTGTCCATTTTAAAGCAGCTACAGGATTAATAACAACAAAACTAAGTGAAGCTCAGCAAGTATTTCATCCCTCTTAAAGGTTTGCAATTTTTCAAAGATTTAGTTCTTTTTTTCCTTGGGGTAGACACTAAAACAGTATAAAGGAAGAAACCAGGCAAGAACCACAACTGAAATAAGAGCCATTGGGCTATTCTCAAGGAAAGGTCACAATCATTATCCATTCTCAAGGTGTCATCTAGGCACAGGAATATCATGAAAGTACTTCATCTACCACAGTGTTTCTCCCATCTAGGAAAAACAAACAAGAAACCCTCCTTTACGGGAAAACTTCTTCCTTCTCCAACTTCATAACCCAAATGTAGATCTTCATTCATGTAGCAGGGGAAAAATGATGTTATCACCATTGTTTGTGATATGAGCTGCTTATCTATTTTGACTCAGCTTGGAATCCAACTGTAAAAGTCTGCTTTCTCTGCCATTAGGTGAGGAATTCCTCTTCCCCTTAGCCATGACAGACTTCTCTCAGAACATAACATATATCCTAAAAATGACTTCACTGTGACCTTACTACTCATAGCACCACTGTCCCTAGTGTCAACCATGTATGATCTTTTCACATCAACAGCCAAGGAACCTAAAGTTACATTAAAAACAAATGAGTGTAAAAGTGTCTAAGAAGAAAAACACGTGCTGAGATTAATAACTTGGACCTGAGTTCAATTTCAACCTTATCAAAAGTTCTAATGTCTGATATCTAGGCTCATTATGGCCTAGGGGTATTGGTTTCTTTCTCTCATATTCCTCAAATTTCTTAGGCCCTTGAACCACCTCAGACTGACACACAAGAGATACTTGAAAAAGTCCTATGCTAGCAGTTCATTTCTATCATAATAATACTGTTGATCCATATTTGTGCGAGGGACTCTTCCAGAATAAACAAGACCTAGTTCCTACTCACATGGGGCTTCTATTTGAGAGGCAGAGACATTTTAACAAAGAGCATATGAATATGAGTATAATACATTGAGTTCCATTGTAGAAGGGAATACAATTCATGTGGGTAGGTATGCTTGGTTAAAAAGCAGAGGACCTTGAGCTGGCCGTGATCCTTGTTGTAGAAATTTATGCCTTAATCAGTCAACAAATATTTATTGAGCTTCTACTGTAAAGTCCCTGCCTTCATAGAGCTTTCCATTAGGTTCTGCTTTCAGAAAATGGATTCTATCTTGTACTCTTACACCAGACACCTTCCAGAAAAACTACTTCTCTAAGATAAAGGCCCTGCCTTTTCCTTCCAGGAACTTGAATTTAATCTTTGGAGTTCAAGTCCTACTACTGGGTCTGCTTCCATGATGTTCCATGTTACACATCTGCCTGCCCCTCCCCTATTGATCTGTGGCTGGAACTCTAGACACTGTCCTTTGTCCACTATGTTTTAGTGTCTCATCTATAAATGAAGGATAATAATAGTAACTCTCTCCAAGGAATATTATGAGGAATAAATAAAATCACCTTGCCAAATACTCAATAACTATCATGATCACCATTATTACCTTTACTGTTAAGATACACTGTCTGGCTTATCTACAGATTCTACTTTCTCTTCATGAGGTATGAGCTGGGGCTGGGAAAGTGCTTTCCGATCATCCCCACCAACAAAGAGGTTATGCATAGGCTCATTTCAGTCTCACAGCCTGGCCCATCCAGACCCATCTGGGGACGTCAAGTACCTCTCAGTGTCAGGGAGCCATAAGCCAGGTTAGTCAAAGCTTGTGCATATTTCTAGTGTTCTTCTCCAAAAATACTCTGAGAGAGGATAACACATCGTATCAGCTCCCTGTTTGCTTGGGTATTCTGTAGAGGGCAAAAAGGAAAGGAGGAAAACTCTGGCCCATCACAGGAAGGTAGGACTAAATTTCCTTCATCTTTCTTTTCTTCTTTATTTCTTCCCACCCCACATCCAAACTCTATCAAGTCCAGTTGACTATACCTTACTCTTGTATCCTAAAAACAAGTTCTTCTATTCATTTCCTCCTGAGTACTTAGCTTCACCTATTCTCATCTTTTTTTTT